GTATTTCAGAACTACATGGACTGAATTCCACCACTTTGTCACCATCATCAATAACAGCAAAAGCCTTCTCTGGAAAGAGGGATTGTGTACTACTAAACTAGTACTACTAGTAGTAGTAGCAGTAACAAGAACAACAATCTGATCAAAAACATCAAATGACTATTTGATTTCATCATCATATCCTCCCTCGTCCTTGTCCTCCTCCTTGTCCTCATCCTGCTGGATGCAGTGCATCACGAGGACGAGGAGGGGGAGGAGGCAGGACAAGGATGAGGACGAGGAAGAAGTTCGTCGTACTACTAGTAGTAGTACTAGTACTACTACTACTACTAGTTTTTGCTGGTGGGCCCCATTCTTCTATATGTGACTCCCCACCTAAGGAGAGCAATCACAAAATCGATATGAATGAGCCAGGAAAGAGAACACAACAAATTACCATGTCACTCTTTGGTGTTCAAGAGTCTGCTAGTTGTTGTGTTTCTTAGTACTAGGTCACCTCGACGTAGCGTACTCGTACTTTACTACGATACCCTAAGTACGAACCGACCCCTGTTGCTACTTATGTACGTACTCTTAATAGTTCTTATGGGTACTGTTCTGTTGAATGATGATGTCATCGTGACGTCAGCCCAAGGTTGCAAGCTGTTCCTTGCGAACGAGAATTCGGCGAATCAAAAGGCAGAAAGAGAGAAACGAGCTGTACGCATGTCTACGGTCTCTTGTAGGCTTTCCCCGGTCCCAGGGACGAACGTCAAACTTCGAAACCCACRAGGAGAACTATCGGAAGTTACAGGTACGTGGACGATGATCGAACACAGAGAATGCTGCCGGCTGCATCCTACCAATGGCCCATCTTTCAGGTTTTGGGATCAGTAGAAAATCAATTGTTTTGTGTGTCTTGGTGGCCGGCACAGCAATCGTGTAGTACAGCCATACCCCACTTTATGATGGCACAAAACAGTGTCATACTACGATGCTTCCGTCCACGACGACATTCTCGTACTTTGACAATAGTACGAGTAAGTACCAAGTACCGTACATATCTGTACAACTCGATTTCATCACGGATTCCTACTGTTACCGTATTCTCACTTATCACCTCACATTCATTTTCTTGACAACCCTTGTCCCCAGCGATCGAAGAGCGCGACAAACGAATAGACGAACGCAAGATGATAACGTTCCCCTCTGTAGCAAATGCGACGCCGGCGAATACCAGCGCCGCTGACGCAATACCCATCACATGGAACCAGGAAAGCGGCCGTCGCCGCCGMCGACGACGAGACTCGAACACACGATCCGTGAGAATTTCCTCTCTTTCCTACCGTTGTTTCTTGCTTTCTGTTCTCGTCCTGTTGAAGTTTCACGATTCCGAATGGCGCTCTCGTTCTGCGTCGTGGAAAACCTTTCCTACCGCCGAAGCCTTTGTACCGACTACCGCTCCGAGAATCATACCTACCTCCAACGCCAACGCCAACGCCAACCATCGACAGTGCCGGAAACGCAYGAGGCACGACACGAGTGCCAACGCGGACACCAAGAGAAACAGGAACAYCGCCCTCTGGTTTTTCTCCATCGGCAGGAACAAACAAAACGTCAACTACAACGAGGGAGATCCCGACCTGCCCCTCGCGCGGTACGTCGACCTCTCGGCCAACTACACGCTGGCTGCCACCCCAGAGGACTACATCGACCTCCAAAACGGCCAGCGCTTGGTCTGTGTCGGAGACGTTCATGGCGATCTAGATGCCCTCTCGAAGTTTCTGGAAACCGCTGGGGTCTACGATCCCTCAACGCAGAGCTGGTGCGGTGGAAACACGGTGCTGGTCCAGTGCGGTGACGTTTTGGACCGGGGCTTTGAGGAACTGGCGTGCTACCAGCTGCTGGCCAGGCTCTCCCACGAGGCACTCGCGGAAGGCGGGCGTCTCGTGCTGCTAATCGGAAACCACGAGGTCCTCAACGCCATGGGCCTCTTCCARTACGCCTGTACCGACCAGGAGCACGAGCAATACATAGGAAGCGCCGTCGATGACGCCATCAACGGGGCCCAGAACAAGTGGCGGATCCAGTACGTCGGAAATCAGCCGWCTCGTTGGGCCTCGTACGAACCGGGCGGGCTCCTGGCGCACTCGCTGATGCGCAACATGAAGGTTGCCATTCGGGTAGGAAAAACCATCTGTGTTCACGCCGGCCTCAAGCCCCAACACCTCAAAGACCATGGCGGCATCGAAGGAATGAACGCCGCCTTTCGGGAGTGGATCACCCTCGGGGAAGAGCCCACGAGCGTCCCCTACAAGCAAGGCGGAGGGGAGCAGCGATCCGTGGCCCAGCAGCTGAAGGACAACCCCCTCGTGTACAACCACCACGGCCAGTATCCGGCCAACATGGTTTCTCCAGAGGAACAGCCCTGGATCGATGCCCAGAAACGCCAGACCTTCTATATCCAGTCGACGCCGTCGTTTCTGGCCAGCAATCCGCAGGATCCCGGACCCATCTGGATGCGGGAATACAGCAGCCCCCACGACGTTCCCCCGCACGACGCCGACGGCTCGCTCCGGGCCATGCTGGACGAGACCCTCCTGCTGCTCGACGCCGATCGCATGGTCATGGGGCACACCATCCAGCGGAAAATCAACGCCGCCTTTGGGGGCAAGGCGTGGAGAATCGACGTCGGCGCATCCAAGGGCTGTCTCAACGGTAAACCGGAGGTCCTRGAGGTGGTGGGAAACCACGACGGTCCCGAAACGGTGTTTGTGCTGACGAGTGGATCCGCCCCKGGCATMGGKACCAAAATACCCGCCAGGGAACGAATGGTCGATAGCTATACAGCAGCGGCCGTCAGCATGATGTGATTCGTATGATATCAGCTTTGCCTGCCAACTACAACCAACTGTCGAAGAGGATCGATCGGACCATTTTGGTTTTGGAGAAGAGAAATGGGATGGGATGAAAACAAACACCKCGAAGTAGTTTTTTGAAGCAACAAGATACTTTTAAAAGAATTACTTTAATGCGCATCTATTTAGAAACGAGACACCTTCAATGATGTCAAAATGATGACACAGACACGAAAGGAAAGCAAGGAGGATTTTCTACAATTACTAGTRTGTTGGTACCCGCAGTCGAGAAGTGGGACCATTGAGAACATTWAAAAAAATTACACAAATTTTCAACCACTAGGAAAGCGAGAACCATCACTTTGCCTTTAGTTGCTCCAAGGGGCGCCATTGAGAACATCTACAATTGCAAATTCTCTTGACAGTCAGTCATCTACACACATACGAACACTTTTTACGATGGTCATCGAGAAACTCATGCRAGTTCCATCTTTGTCGCCATATCCAGGTGTAATGACTGTAGATACCACAAAGAGAAAGTGGTTGTTAGCGTCAATGAGGCCAAAAATCCACACTCATGCATGGTCTTTCAGTCCATACTGAATTTGTTATTATCTCACGAGCTGCTGTCCTCTTGTTGGCTTCGYATTGAAAAAATGGTAAAATATTAGTGTGKTAGATTTTAAATATGTACGATTACTTGAGTTTACTAATGKTATTATTTTAAGTTTTAGATTGAAAGATTTTCGTKARTGTGCATCCTATTCTATGTTGTAATCATTTTGATTTCAAGACAAGAAATTCGGAAGTTTTCCGTCCTAGCGATGTTTTCCGCAGATAAATCTTGTGAAAGAAGTACGTGAGGTTAGAAGATCCGCCTGGTCCCAACTCAGAGCGTGTTGCGATGGGTGCATTTGCTTTTCGAACGTTCTTGTTCTGATTCTAGTTGCGTTCCTGCTGCGGTGCATGCTACAATTTTGGATGACAAAGAAGATTCGTTTTGTCTTTTGAGAATCTCTTAGAGAAATAACAATAGTATTTCTCCTTTGTTCCCACATGTTTCACTTTAATGCGCGGCATAATTTCAGTTTTTCACTTAACGAATTTGAGTTGTCCATTTGAGCTTGGAAGGCATACCACCTCTCCCGATAATTTCGCTTGATGCCGACGCTTTCGATGGAGGAGCAAAGATTTCCCAGAAACGCAAGGTTTCGTCTCCTGCCGCGGAAACAACAGTGCTCCCATCAGGACTGGTTGCCATATGCAAAACGCGAGATGTGTGACCCTCCAGTTCTTTAATCTTCGTCATCGAAGGATATTTCCAGAGGCATATCTGGTTCCGAGCGTACCCGTGGCTAGAGAGGATTTCTTTCTCAAAAGGGTTCCATTGCAAGGCGCAGACCTGCGAGCCTGTGTCAATCGAGTTCAAAAGAGCACCATTCTTCGAGTTCCAGAATTTAATACATCGATCAGCAGTTCCACCTCCAGTAGCAAGCAGATTGCGGTCGTGGGGCGACCATGCCAAGGCTTTTACCGCAGCCTGGTGGTCCGTCATTCTGAAACGAGGTTCCTGTCTGTTCGATATCGACGACAATGAGGCAGAGGCATCCCAAAGACATAGGAGATTATCGTTACCGCCACTGGCCAACGTTTCCCCATCGTTGCTCCAAGCCAACCCACAAACTTCTTGTGTGTGTGCTGAGAGGGTAGAAGTTGCATGGCGGGCAACACGGACATCATGATTAACAATACTCGTATCACGACTTCCACTGCTAAGGATATGGCGATTCCACGCCATGGAGCTTATGCGATCACTATGTCCATCCATCGATCGTAGTTGCTTGCATGCTTGGACATCCCAGAGCTGGGTCTTTCCCCCCGATGTTCCAACAGCCAAATGGGCTCCTCCCTCTTGAACCCATGCAACGGAAGAGATATGTGCGTCAACCGATTCTCCTTCTTCATATGTGCACAATTCCTGAATATCTCCTGTCCCRGCATTCCACAGATAGACAGTGTTGGCCAAGGCAACTGCTAAAATGTTTGTGTCACTCCAAGAAAGCAGATTGAGGTAGTAGTCATCTAGTAAATCGGGGGCATCCAATACTCGGGTTGGGGCGGAGGGAATGGCACGGCTCACCAATTTACTGTTGGTCTTCTTCTGACCTGCCGAAGCAGAAGCAGAGTACAATATATTTAGATTGTTGACAGTATCTCCCTTTGGAATTGGTGCCTTTTYAGCGAAGCTCATGATGCGACTGTTGGCCTTATCTTCAACCCCCAACAACGCCGCACTCAGTTGAGAAGAATACACATCCTTGTTTGCATCGGAAACAACTTTTTGATTTTCGGTTTGTTCAGAGACACCCCCATCAGTTGACTGGATATCCGATGAAGACGATGATCTAGAAGAATGAGAAGAAGAGTCTGTTGTTTCTCCTCTCAAATTGTGCTGTGACAATTTCACGTTCATACCCGCTCGGTTTGGAATGAACCGATCACCTCCGGTGGCACCCCCAACGCTTCCTTTATTATAAGAAGCTGAGGAAAGAGGAAGACGGCTTGAATTTTGTTGTTGCTGCTGCTGCTGCTGCTGCTGCTGGCGTTGTTTGCGTTCCCATCGTGGTCTCACGCTTGATCGAATCGATAGATTCGAATCTGTGAATGATGTATTCACTAGATTTTCGTAATCAACTACTGATCGGCTGCCCATTTTTTGTATGTTTCACTTGTGTGAATTATGTATTGAAGATGACTACAGTATTATGATAATTCGAAAAAACACCAGATTTTTTTAATCATGAGTTGAGGCATCATCCACATCGACAATGCAGTAAATTTTTRTGAGTCATCGAATACCACCAATTGTACGATTCCAATCAATACAAGGTTGAATAAACCAAAACGTAGACACGTAAAGCGTCGACTTACTTGAATTACAACAACGGTGCTACGGAACAGYGAACAAAATATTGGTTCAATGGATTCAATGGACGGATGGTGACCGCTTCAGTGATTGTAGTAACAGTTAGTGACAAAAACCGGAAAAGATCAACGAGATGGATTGGAGTTTTGATCTTCATTTTGATGAAGGCTACAAATAAATAATGAGAAAGAAAACCGTTGCTTTTTGTGTCGCCAAAAAACCTATCGCGGGCCAGTCACATCGTAAGAGTAAAATGGTTTCTTTTTCGGTTCATTTTGGGGGACCAATCCCTTAATCCCTTAAAATCGGAAAATACGGTCAGTACTGTACTGTAGCATAGTACGAGTACTCGTACGAGTACCGAATATTATGAAATTGCTGTAATTTATTCGGTCCCGTCCTTCCGCTGCTKTATCGGTATGGTCTCCTATTTTGACTACGTACGTGTCGTACCGGAAAGTAGTACCAAGAAAGGTACAAGTACTTCTTAAATTTTCACCATCWCTGCCGATCTTTGATGGAACCTCTACAACTGAACTGCAGCCGCTTCTCATTCAAATCAGAGTGTCAAACATGCTGAGAATACCCGTACTCTAGTACTCAATGGGGATACACAAAATGAACCCTAGTGCTACGGTACGTACATTTGCAATTCGAAATTATTTCAGAAGAGCAAAGAAAGTTGTCATTGTGGTCCTTTCGGTGAAACAAGCAACAGGAGGACTCTGGCTGAAAAAGGCAACATGATTCTTATTTTTGTTTAGGGCTTTCTGCATCTTCAACTTGCTCCCGAGAGTTGAAAGTTACAAAATTGACCGAATCGGGATGAAAAGATCTTAAAAACGCAGAAAGAAGTGTTTCCATCGAGTTGACTGTAGGGT